TAATGTTCTGCCGCCGCCACTTTAATTAATATTTATAGGTTATGCTCATTACATGGAAAGGACAGATCTGCCCTTAGTCTTTACATAACAAATAGAGCAAAAAATAAGACTGAAATAAATAACAACTGAAACAACTAAATGACCAATAGCTAACCCTAGGCAGACTAGAACATCCTCTACCCTACGAACACAGTGGGACCGTAGCTGTGGGGCCCACATCAGTGTTCTCTACAGATATTTTATTATTAAACTAGCATGATTCTATATATTAAACAAAGATATTTTATATTTTATTGTTCTATATTTTTTCCCATCGGTAATATTAAGTGTATCATAAATGTATAAGATATACAAGAGTGAGAGGAATACCAGAATATTCTCTAACTAGACAGAATTAGAGGGTGCCCTGATCAATATCATCACTGTTAGAATTGCACATTGGATGCATACACCAAAAGAGTTCAGGGATCTTGTCTTAGACGATATTGTTTGTAGCTGATTAGTGGTCATAAACTCTTCTACTCCTAGACAGAAAGTGGATCAGAATTGGACCCCCTCCTCAAGGAGTAATCAAGCTCAATTTTGTTGGCTGTTCTTTGGGGAAACCCAGGGACCTCTAAAGTAGGAGTTACACAAATGCAAAAGGTAACATACTATAGGCACACTTATGCCAAATAAGGTAAGGGGCATGGCTAGAAATGAGAAAAAGTCTTTGATTCAGGGATTCATGTTCTTACCTTGGTTGAAGCTGATCAAGAGGCATTGAAAGGAGTTCATAGGTGGTTATTGGCTGGTTTAGAGATGGAACCAACGAAACCCAGGTTTAACATTTCCAAATAAAATGGGCCATGCATCTAGCATCAAGGATAACAACTCGTCCGGATGAACTTAAAGATCAACAAACTCTAGCTAGCAAAGGTGTTAAGCTGGTTACAGAGGGGAAGTGGTCTTTGGAAGTTTTCTAATGAAAGAAGGGAAATCAAATGGCTAACTAGAGGGATGGACATCCAATTTCAGTGGGTGAAAAGAACAGGAAATGTGTTTGCAGATGATTTGGAAAAGCAAGGGGTGGGAAGGGATCAATTGTACTGGGCTGTATTGTGAGCTTTTATGTTGCTCTTTTGGAGAGAGTCAAGTCTTTTTAGCTCTCTGGATTGCTGTACGTATTTTTTTTATGAATCTAACGAAATTCTGTTATTGATAAAAAAAAAAAGGTAAGAAGAGCAGTTGTTTTGGGTTGGATGAACTCTCTCTTCCAGGATAGCTTTACCACGTATTTACAGCATTGCCTTGCCTCCATTTTAGGGACATTTATATCTTACCACCTTTTTTTTCATAAATAACAGAAAATTTCATTCATTAAGAATATGGAATAAGGAAGTACAAAGAGAAGGGAGAGGTAAGCCCTCTTAACTCTTAATTGTGAGGTTATTGATCCGTCCTACTTGATCCGGTTGCCAATCCAGTCACTCTTCTCTCCTCTCTGACTTTTCTTGTGTAATTATTTATATATTTTCTAAATATGCATACACATATATTTAAGTAAATTCATAAACATAACATCTCAAGGTTTAGTTCTTGTGCTTTTGGATGTCCCGAGGCTCAAACCAAGGCAAGCAAAGCTTACAAACTAACAAACTGAAGTTAGCGTTTTATTACTATTGGAATTTGAGTACGCTTACTTAAACAGTAATCAGGAATATGAAACTAATATGTATCAGAGTTGGTGTCATTTAACAATGTGTCAAGATAAACAGTATTCTGCATGGAAATTGCGGAAATAAGAATTGATAATAAGAGAAAACAGAAAAGAAACTCACCTTCAGTGAGTGGAAATTCCTTCTGCAAATCGCTTGACATTGAGCGAAGCTCGGCGGTTAATCCAGAGACATCATCTGGAAGAGGTTCGAAAGGGTACTTGTCATAGTACCGAGCCAAAAAGGCCCTTGTTATCGGCACCAATCCCTCTGTTGAAGCCATTGACACGCAGAGCCGTGGAGCGTGAGTGGATTTTTTCTTTTTCGTGATGGATTGAATGATTGATCGATTTTTTTTGCTTGTCCCGCACTAGAGTAGAAAAAAATGGTTGAACATAGAAGAACGGATCAAATAAAGAGGGAAAGGGTCTTCGGGGGTAGGGGGGTAAAAGACCGATGGCTGGAAAGTCCACGCCTTCGTTACGGCGGAGAATCAAGTCCCGTCCCGTTGCCACCACATAGAATTTTTATTTTAAAGGAAAAATTATAAATTAGTACCATGTAATTTGGGGTTAGTGTCAGTTTGGTTATCTAACTTCAAAATTTGCTAATCAATTATCTAAATTTTTAAAATATGTCAATTTACTACCTATCGTTTACTAGTCATTAAATGGCATGTAAGAAGGCATAAATATCTTTTGAATATCATCTAATTTTCTTTATAAATGTTATTCTTTTAACAAGTCTGAACATCCTTTAAATGAGGCCAAATTGAGCCTGGGTGATAGATTTACTATCGGCTTTATGATCATTTTCCATATCAAACACTCAAGTTTGTGTAGAAGCTAGTTAACAACACTACTTTAAATAGGAAACCTGGCCAAAGGTTTTTAGAGTTAACTGGTTGTATTCTGCAACCGAGAGATGTTCAATAAATGGCAAGGATAGAGATGGTGGGGAGAGAATTATGACCGAATCATGGAGCTCTATAATGTTCAGAGGCAATGCAAACCTCTGCTTGATGGTTTTAGGACTTTTGGAATTTGCCCCTCCAAAGATGTTGGTTTTTATTAACAGCAAGATATGGCAACCTTGACTCCAATCCTCCATATTCATGATCCAATGGAATGGAAGTGAAACCGAGGCACTTTTAGATAATCCATAGGGATGCATTTAGATGGACTTCAACAACCTTAATCGCCACTTCAATGTACTAGTAAGTCTGTACGTGTTTTGTACATGGCAATTCTAGATGATGATGATGATAATAGTAATAATAACAATAATAATAATAATAACAACAACAACAACAATAATAATAATAATAATATACAAAATTTTCTATAAACTTTATATATATTTTTATTTTTTATAATTACTCATATGCACATTGTAAAAGCTAAATCTAATTACATAAACACCTCTTCCAAATATGTGATATTTAGATCTAATTGTGAAGTTTCAAGTATCATTTACAAGCCTATATGCTTGGCTAAACTTTTCTTTTTGTAGTGTTCTATCTTTTTGGTGCATATTTTTTCTTTTGTTCATTTATTAAAAATGTAAGATTTAAATAAGGTGAAAAGTAGTAGTTCAATTTATAATTTAAACCTTATAATTAAATATGGACTAAATTAAAAAATGAGTAATTTAGTCATTGTTTTAAAAATCGGACCAAATCAGACAGATAAACCTTTTGGCCTAGGAATCAAACAAGTCACCGGTTCCAATTTTGGCTTTGAACCGCTATTTTACAAAAAACCGTTGAAATGGTTAAAGGATCACGAACCCAGGCAGTTTAACCATTAAAATGTTTAACTCAATTAATGGTTCTTGGGTTGCTTTCAAACAAATTCCAATTTTTTTATTTATTTTAAAATAGAAATTAGAAAATAAAAAATGAAAAAAAAACTTTAATGTCTCATAATCTTGTTCGATTATTCCCAATGGCCAAAAGTAGTTAGGGTTTTTAGTTTTTCCATTTTGATTTTGAGTTTTCTCATTTCTGTGATTCTTTTTAAATTGTAATAACAATAAAAATCGCAAATGCAATAAAGAAATCGAAAAATCAATGCAAGAAATGAGAGGTTAAACATTGGTTTTATATTAAAAATCTAAGATACACAATGAAGCAAATGATCTAGAATCTAAGGGAGATATAAGAAGATGGCAAACGATGTTGTAGTGACAATGATGGTTAATATTGAGATAGTCATTGGCAGAGTGGTTCCTTATTCTTATTCTTCTCACTTGTTAGCTTTAACCAACTGCCTCATTCTCAAAATCTCACACTCCACTCTCCTAATAATGTATATATATGGTGGATTTTAACATTATCCCAATCTAACAATCAAAATAAAAAGTTATATTATATTTTACACCTTATCGGTTTGACCCGCTCAAACTAGACGACTGAACCACTAACTTGGAAATTAGAAGCCAAAAAGGTTCCATTTCCAGGTTGGTTTTTAAAACCTTGATTTTAGTCGAAAGAAAGTTCAATAATATTATTCATATTTTTAATAGTAGTGTAAATATAAAATTGTAGATGTGTTCAATTTTTATATACCTTTTTTTTGTATTATTGTGTGTAAAAATAATTCTGATGTGTTAGACTTATTTTGTGTTTAATATGATATACATATATATATATATATATATATATATATATATATATATATAATATTATACATGTGTCTAAATGCCTTTTTTTGCAAAATTTGTGTTTTTTTTAATTTTTATATTTTATTATTTATTTACGACATTAAAGGTTAACACATTTTAACCCAAAAGTTGAACTATTTATTATTAATTCCTATATTTCATTTTCGATCATTTCTAAATTATGTATTTCATTTTCATTATCACTAAAAATAATTATTGTTTATTATACTTATTTTTAAATTTGATTAATAAAAATATCATAAGTGTGTCTATTTTTTTCTACATTTTTTTGTAATTTTCTATTTTTAAATATTTGTTACTTAACTATGACTTCATAGGTTGATCAATTTGATTCAAATGGTTGAATTTCTTAGCCACCACTTGGATAAAGAATGATTTTGTTTTTGAGTTAGTTTAAAATATATGGGTTTATATTATTAAAAATATTGACATAGATCTAATTAGTAGCATTTATTAGTGAAAAATAAATTAAAAATATAGGATTTAATAAGAGAAAATGGGATTTAATACTAAGGTGGAAAATAATAATTAAAGATATATTTTGAATCCTTATAATTACAGATGAATCAAATACATACAAATATATACAAATATAGACATTTTAGTAGCCATCAAAACTGACATTAAAATTATCACAAAATAACTTTTATATCTTTTCTTAAAAAAATAAAAGATAATTTAGATAAAAAAAAATCAAACTTCATTCGCAATTTCACACATGTAGTATAATTTCTACCGCTAGAGAAATCAAAGTGGATTGGTGAGTCTATGCAGTAATTAACTTAGGATATGAGTAAATAAGTATGGTAAGACAGTCCATTCATCGCGCGTCCATACGTCTCTTCGCACCATAAATGTTGAACTTCAAACATAGCCGTCGTCGGCCCCATCCGTTCAAAGCTGCATTAAGTAATAATATCTCATGGCTACGGAAGTCGAGTAACGAAATGTGATCAGTTTGCCGACAACGGTTCACATAGGAGAACTGGGTCTTGTTCATAGAGTCTGGTAAGGATTTTGTAGAGTCTTGTTCGTAGAGTCTGATAAGGATTTTGTAGACATTTTCTTCAGTCTATTGACACTGCCAATTGGAACAAGTCGCTCATGGAAAGGGAATCGAATCGGCTCAAGAAAAAAAGACTTAAAAGTTGTGTTTGGTGAAGACCCCAAAAGCCCCAATGTACTTTTATTAAGTTATGAAACCAACTTGAGGTGAAGCTATAATATTAGTATCTTCTTCAAAGCAGCTAAATAAATGCAACTCAATGGAAGCTAAAGCCCTCCAAAACGGGTTCTTAGAAATGAGGAGGCACCAACTGGTTTTTGTACTCCCATTGGAGGGGGTGCCCATCATGAAATTCAAAAGAATGCCTAGGCGGGCAGTCGCTTATCAAAGGTGACAAAATTCTAAACATCGTGGTAATCATGAAAGGTTCTTGTACAATAATCATCACAAGATTGCTTGGCAAGGGCATCCACCATTGAGTCACCTCCAGAAAGATTAAACATTCTATCAACTTCCAAATATGTATCTTCTCCAAAACCCATAGATTATTGGATTTTCAGAATATAAACCTTTCCTTGACATGAAAAATGCAAAACCCTTCCTAACCTTACCTTTCATGCATTTGAGGGTGGAGTGGGTTGGGTCCAAAACCTGGAAATAATTTCTTATTATTTTATTTTATATATAAGTAATGAATAAGTAAAATAACATACACAAACATCAAAGTTCTAAATATTTGATTAGAACATTCAGAAAACACATAAACTACCGATTATTCTTTACATAAAATTCAAAATACTATTAAATTTAACATCTAATACATAAGTTAATATGCTTTCCAACAATATGCGGGTTGGAGAGGATTGAGTTTAGCTTAATACCGCACCCTACTCGTACTGATAAAAGGTTGTAAAATCACAAAACCCTTATCTGTCCCAAAATCCATTTTTCAAGTAAGAAAGATAAAATAAAAACCCCACCCTATCCGGTCGGTAGGGGCGAGTACCCCCGGGTACGGTAGAAATTTCCATCCATACCCTTAACTTTGAAAAGAAAACTACAAATTGATCTCCATTTATTAAGCATGACCAAAGAGCTTTTTATAGACGTATAATATATCATATAAACTTCAATGGTGGTCTGAGGATTGACTCAACCAACCAACCTTAATAAAATGGCCAATTAATTAAGTCATAATTAGCTACCCATAATTAGCTACCAAAAGATTAAGTATTTTAAGTCCAACCCTGCCTAATGGTATGATCTAAATAATTTTTACATGTTAGTTCAAATTGACCAAAATACCCTTTCTTGTAGAAGCAATTGGAAGCTTACAATTAGATGAAGAATAATTTGAGAAAAAAAAAAGGAGAAGAGTGTGCAAAAATGGGGTAGCTACATATTGGCCTGCCAGAAGGTAAAATCCAAATGATGACGAAAAAAATTGAATTGAAAACAATGATGATGATTTTTGAAAATAAACCATTGCGCTTGAGAGTGCCTGACTTTAATAGAAGTATAGAACACATTCTTTCAAAGACTTATCTTTTGATCAGATACTAATTCATAAGAGCGAAGAGAAAATCCATCAGTAAAGCAAGGTTATGTTTAAAGCCATTAGTAAATATAAACTGTGTGTGACTAATTGGGCAATCTCTCGTCTATGATTGACCAAGTTGGAATGCATATAGAAAAGTTTACTCAACCCTCAACTTAAGAGTTAAGGTCTCTTTAGCAATAATCAATATATATGGGGATGGAGGATCACCATGCCTAAAACCCCGAGTAGATTAAAAGTATC